AGAGAGAGAGAGAGAGAGAGAGAGAGAGAGAGAGAGAGAATTTTTGAGTAGATATCAAAATAAAGAAAAAGAAATGAGAATGTGCGTATCGAAGAAGTCGTTTTTTTAAATCGTTTTCCAAACTGGTATGATAACACGGGATACGTGATATCAAAACTGGGTCACGAGTCGCTACTTTATTGTTCAAGTTATAACTCGTTTCTATTCTTCTCTTGTTCCTGATTCGACCAATACTACTATGTACTATTACTACTACTACTACAAGCACATCTATGAGAACGATGACAATAAAAGATGAGAATATTTCGAGATATCACATTCGACACATACAATATTATTCCACTCGCAAATGTTCTACATTGAGAATAAAAAGGAAAATAAATTTATGATCATAATTATGTACGGAAGTATGCTTTCAAGTGGTTATGTGATAGTAAAACTTAAAAAAAAACGAAATAACATGGAAAGAGAGGAAAAAAGAAGGTTATAAATGTTGGAAGAAGATTCATAGAAGGTAGACACCACGTTCGTCAGTCTTTCTTATCGGGTTTGTCCTGCTTGGGAAGTTTTGCACGTTTCCTACTTGTCATCCTCGTATTCGTCGACGTTGACATCGATAAGAGGAAGAGGAAGAGGAAGAAGAAGAAGTAGAAGAAGAAGAAGAAGAGATGCGGGCGATTTGTAATACTCACTCTGACAGGTGCGAAGATTTGGTCCGGCTTGATGTTCTCGAGACGATGTTCCTGTTCACTTTTATGCACCAACTGCAAATGTGGTTTGAAGTGAGCCGGACAAAGACTTCCAAGAGGCAAAGGACAAACCCATGCCGGCATATGAGGTGGATCGCGTTTTCCTAATTCCGTGTAGAAAGTTTTCAAGAATCTAAACAATACATTTTAAATATATAAGAGATATTTAGAAGAACGAATGAATAAAAAGTCATCACTTATCAGAGGAATATAATAAAAATTATTTTGTTACTTTTAAAAAAAAATTAAAAATTGAAAGAAATTAACCTGAGTAATCTTCCTAAAGGATCTCTTTCCGGGGATGGAAGAACTCCGAGCCCGCTTCCGGTAGTGAGTCTTCTTGAAGAAGCACGAGCACTTGATATGTATGCAGCTGGTGCTGGTGGTGGACTGCAAGGCGGACTGCAAGCTGGACTGCAAGCTGGACTGCATGGTTGACAACAAACCGGACTGTTACCAACCGGCGACGACAATGTTTCTCTAGATGAACTTCTTTCAAGTTCCTGCAACATAGAAAAGCAAATTTTCAATCGATTATTTTTTACGCAGATTTTATTTCGAGGTTATGTTTTTTTTACCGCCTCTCTTTGGAGCCAACAGCACGTAATTTTTCTCTGTATGATAATTATTTTATTTAAATATCATATTGTTGAAATAATGAATTTGAAATAATTCGAATGTAAAAAGTTGAATTAACTTTTTGTAATAAAAATCCTTTAAAGGTAATTTTGATGAATAGCCCAGTATTATAAGAATGTAGGTTAAAAAGGCTGACTGTAAATGAATTTCTGGTATTAAATAATGACATGAAAGATAAATGGAGAAGAGGGGAGAAAGAAGATGAATGGAATGCTTTTGGAAATAGAATGTATTTCATTGAATGAAGGACTAGAAATAAGGAAAAGTGATGTCCTTAGGAAAAAGCTGACATTAATTGGAGATAATTGCAGAACCGCGAACGACAAAGGGCTTTCACGACGAAAGCACGAAGGACATGCTATCTAGCTAGCTTACAAAGCACCTTTCCCTTTGGTCCTTCACCCTTTGACTCTCTTCTTGCATAATATTCGTCAAACGATGTCACGAAATTGTAATTTTAATTGAATATTATTTCTATAAATTAAATAATGTCTATGGATTGTTATTCAATTTTTCGTCATAAAAAATGAAAGAAGAAAAAGGAGAACCGATAAATAAATTTCACGAAATAAGATGTATTACGCGATGGTATCTCAAGTCGTAAATCACATAGGATCTTTTTATGAAAAATGAATTCTTAGAAATTCGTATTTTCGTAGGTTCTGTTCCGTTCCAGTGATAGGACGAAGGGCAGGGCAAGGCGTCTTTGGTCACATAAATTCTTGAAAAGGTGTTCTTTGAACCGTGAGACTTTCCATGGAATTTAAAAAAGCTCGACCTCCCAACTTTTTCTTCTAAAATCGACTTTACTTCTGACCAATTCTATCAAACTAGGTCTTTAGATTAAAAAGAGTCAAAACCTTTTGAAAGATTGTTAAAGAAAAAGTTATCTTTCGGCAAACGCGGCTGTCAAACTTTGTCAATCGTATTTTAGTATACTTGCAATCGACAAAGCAAAGATGAGGAAGGAAGATTACGTATAAGTAATAGTACGTGTGTGTGTACGTGAGTGCTCTAGATGGCCGACACGTTAAACTTCAATCACGGTCAGAAGCTAATTTAATCTCGATCCAATTATAACGGATATAACGTTAAGCCTCTTCTAGGTACGCACTCTAACAGCTGATATCGAACATGTTCATCCACTGCGTAAATTCCATAATTGCCTGGTTCGTCCGATAAATTTGCCTAGGATTTGCCAATAAATCGAATGGAAAACAACTTTATCTCTTTTACTTTTAATCAAATTGTTTATAGTATTAATCGTTTAACGCGTTCACTGGATTCGTCGTGAATGTTTCAAATTCTTCTAAATATTAATAGAAAAGTGTTGTATTATATCATTCAACGTCGAACTATTCTATGAACAAATTTCTATTGTACTTATTATTACGTATATCAGACAAAAATAATTGATATCGTTCTATTCATTTGATTGATCATTAATGATGTTCACAATAGTCAGCTCTTTAGAATCGCATTACCTAATAATTATATTGTATAATGAGATCTCCATACGTATATGCACTCATATATATATATATATATATTGCGAGCATATTCATGGTCAATTGTCCTTTAATCAAATCTTTTCTTTGTTTGTTAAATAATTATATTTAATTGATCATTCTGTTGAATATTGATAATTCTATTTTTTTTTATTAACACATTTATATAATAATCTTTGTACATTGTTTCGACGATAATTCACAATTAAAAGATAAGTAATTTACAATTTAGAATTCGATTTAACTGAAAATATATATTTCCTAAAGTACAAATGTTGAAACATTTACTGTTTGAAATTGAAGAAGAAAGAAAAGCATGATTACGAATGACCAAACGAAATGATACATTAGCTATAGATTCCGATTTGCTAAACACACTCTGTAAGTCGTCAAGAATTCGCTTAGTAAATGATGGTAGAGGAATGAAAATTCGAGCTTCCTACTCTGTTTGTTTAGTCAGGAGTAAATTCGATAGTTTCGAAAGGTTTCGAAGGATTACGGTACACGCAGAGAATTCAAAGTGTAAACGAATGGCTCGTATCAGAGGTGTTTCAAATGGCATCGATATAACGTGAAATTCACTGTAATCGATAGACTCTCTCTTCCTTTCTCTATTTGTTTCTGTATCTTTTTACCCTTCTACAGATTTTCCTACAAATGAGAGAAAACAAAAGTATTGATTTCTATAGAAATAAACAAATCAAATAATAAATTCGTTGCTTATTTTTTCATTTTGCTAATATGTTAAGTATGCATTCTTATATGAAATATCACACTCTTTGAATTTTCAACTCATTATAATATTTAAGTTAATTATCGTTCATATCCGTTATTATTTTCGTTATTGTTTTCAGCGATAAATTATAGCTATGGTATCGCATTCTCTTTGAAAGGAACATTTTATCCGACTCGAGTTATTCTCCCTAAAAGAACTGCGTGTTGTACTCTTTATCGTTTTAAAACACACAACAGATATATATATATATACGTACATAGGTGTACGTCATTGGAGGGTAGGTAAACAACATCCCTTGCTATTGGATAGCTACGAGCCTTGGTAAACCCGTATTTTCCTGTAAAGCCGACGATGTAATATGACGATAACGAGAATCTACGTGTGTTTCCAATCGGTAAGAAAAACATGTGCATTCGAACACGTAAATTAAACATGTGATTTACGTTTTCATGCTTTTCCAATCCCATCTACGCATTTTTGTATATTGTCCAGTTTCGATTTTCTATCAAATTCATATTTTTCCCTGACAAAAATTCAATTGTTATTATCATAATATTAAATTTCTTTTATAAGAGTTCTATATTCTGTATATACGTATATGTGATACTTTCATTCGATATAATATTGAAATAGTAAAAAGGAACTTGCGGTCTATTTAATCAAAAGTAAATATCGATAGTGGTTTCTCCTTTTGCGTCATTCAAATCGATTGAAAAATATTTCAAAAATTAGAAACATTCTACCTGTGTGTGACTATACGTATTTATACAATACGTAAAATTATTAATGAAATGAAAAAATCTTCATTTATGTAAATTTTCAATTTTAATTTCTAGTGTAAATTTCTATTAAAATTATTCTAATAAAATATACATAGAATATATATAAATTTGTTCATAAAAGTAAAAGTTAGACATTCGAGTAAACGTTTTAATTAATTGTGCCTTTTAATTAACTTTCTAATTAGACATTCTCGCGCCCTTCCGCCTTCCTTCTCTTTCTCTATTTTCCTCAATTATCTCTATTCTTTTTATTCAAGTGGAACTCATTCTCTCAACGATGTCGAAATTAAAAGTCAAGCATTAAAAAGACAAGAATCTTACCAACGATTTATCCAAAAAATGATAAAAAATTGAAAAATTCCAAAAATTTCAAAGTTATTAAGACTACGGAAAAACAAGTTAGTATTTGAATATTAATTATAGAAAAATAACGAGTGAAATTTTGTCTTGGAATCATTGACATAAGATTTATATTGGAATTAATAATTTTAGAAAGTGGATAAACTTGAGAGAAAGAAGTATCTTTAGTTTATTCAATCAATATTTTATTGCATTTTTGTGATATATTAATTTGTTGCTTTGTAAAATATAATTACATTATATTTTTAATAGATTAAATCGAGATGAAATAATTTTGTGAATAATTGAAAAGTTAAAATTTAAAAATGAATTGAATACTTTCTAACCTCCTACCTTAGTTTCAATCGATTTTTTTCTTATCAAGTCTTTGTAAAATCCTTTTTTCTTCTCTGTTTCTTCACTTTTATCTTCGTCGTCGTTTTCTTCCTCTTCCTCTTCTTCGTTTCTTATTTTGTTTCTTTTCGTTCTAACTTTCGTTTCTCGTTCCTCGACGTGACCTTTGACCAGACCATTTAATCCTTTGTAAGATAACAATCGACAAACGTCACTGGTCAAATCTGGAAGTCGACTTTTTTGTTCAGTTCGATAAAACCTGTGCCTTGGCATTTTATTTTTCTTTCTTTATTTACGCGTTTAGATATTTATGTCATCTATCGTTTCCTTTTCACCGTGATATGTTGTTCACTTTATCACTCGATCTTTCGCATCAACATTGCCAATCACTTTTTATTATATCTGACAAGTCACAAACTTTCATCATTTTATTTTAATTTATTGTTATTTTAAAATGTTTAAATAACATTTTCTTTCTATATATAATAATGTTATTAATAATTATTCAGTATTAACAAGGTTCATTGTTCCTATTATATTTTGGTTTAATTATCTTCAAATTAGCGATTGTTCTCTCGCATCCTATTCCTATAATAATGTATATAATGAATAGAATTTTGGTATTAGAACTCTCCAATGAATTATTTTTAATTCGTGTAATCAAAATTCTATCGAAACCACTTGGAAAATATCTTTGAATATTTTCGCGATTGATTGAAACACAATTGAAGGAAAAACATCGAGACAATTTCTATAGATTCTAAATAGAGAATTTTGTTTGAAATTTATTTCAAATAGTTCAATTCTTTCGAGAATGTTTTTAGTAGTTGAAAGATTGTTAAAGAGATTGTTCTCGAAAATAGGACGTTTTGAATACTATTATATTTTCTCAGAAAATATTCCAATATAAATAGAAAGGAGAGAAATGTGTTATTATACAGAAGAATCGACAAAATATTTGGATTATAAAGAATATAAAATATTGTATTATTTTAAAGTCAAATATAATTAATAATTGTTTGCAATGAGAAAACAGAACGATACGAGAGAGACGAAAATATAACACGATGATTTCCACGTGAAGACTGAATAGAAAGGGAATCATCGAAAGTTACGCGCAATGGTTCGATCGAATCGATGCTACT